TATATATATATATATATATATATATATATATATATATATATATATATGGTCTTATTTAGCTATCAATAAAACCTATTGGGCTGTGCGATGACGTGGTCTCGAATCTTTCGCAGGTCCGCGAACAAGGATTCTCAAACTGAACACCAGCTTCACACCTGTCAGCATTGCCTTAACACCACCGGGTACACATGTGACTTTGACGAGGACGTCATTAACACCTGGACCGTGCGGGAGCCGTATGACACGCACTTTAATTTAACGGCAAGTCTACTTTAGTCCAGGCATCTTTTTTTTTGGTAGTTGTAAAACACACGTTGTTGACAAACTTAGGAGTTATTGAGATAAATTAGTCATCAAGGGGGTCAAGGACACGAATATCCTGTTAAGTTTAATCCCCCCCCCACACACACACACAAACCTCCCCCCCCCCTCACTTCCAATCCATCGACCACCCCACAAAACCAATATAATTTTACAGGAAGTACATTCTTGATGTATGAAGCCCATTGTGGTCGTGGCAAAAAAAATTTTTTTTTAAATCTGATTTTCTTTTTTTTAATTCTTTAAGACCAGTATTTCAAGCTCAGACTATCGAAGGAGAAGGAACACTTATGTCCATATGAGTCTGGTCTGACACTGATGTCCATATGAGTCTGGTCTGACCCAATTAGCAGACATAGTACTTTTTTTTTATTTTTAAAGCTATATTTATCCCTGCTGCCAGCAAAAGAAGACAGTCTGCTCAAAATCTTTCTTTCGATGTTTGTTTGTTGTTGTTGTTTTTCTCTAAGGAAAAGTTTTACGAGATTTTTTTATTCCAGGGGCCGTCAGCACAAGGGCCAAGGGGGGGGGGGGAAGAAAAAGGGGGGGGGGGGGCTAGGATTCTAAAGAAACCCGAAGTTGNTCGTTTTATAGCCATTTTAATTGTTTCTTTAGTATAGTAGTTACTATCCTAGTGTCTCATTTTTATTTTAGTTAGTTTACATGTTTTTAATAATTGTAAAGCGCTTAGAGCTTTAAGGTAAGCGCTATATAAAAATTCCTAAATAAATAAAATACAACGCACCACAAACAGATACAACGCACCACAAACAGATACAACGCACCACGCACGGATACAACGCAGGCAGTCCCAGGCTGACTCTGTTAGCATGGCATAAACAGATGTGCTTGCATAATGTTTTGTTTCCCCACCTTTGGATGTTTAAAAGTATCAACAGAAACAAAACTGCTTGTATATTGTTTTGTTGTTTCCCACCTTTGGATGTAATCAAAGCATTAACAGAAACGGTAGTGCTTGCATAATGTTTTATTTCCCACCTTTCCTCGTACCGGTCCTTCGGGTCGAAGAAGTCCGGCCGAGTTATGAAGTTCTCCTCGCTGCAGATGCTGTCGTCCGTCAACGTCTTTGGCCACAGCTGGATGTTGCTGAACCTGTACCGCAAGAGGTTTGACGCCGGCGTGTCGTAGTACATGCACGTGAACCTTGGGTAGCAGCCGTTCTGCGAATTGAGAAGGTAGCAGAAAATGTAGTGTTAATGTCTTTGTTGAATTTTGAATACGTTATGCTAGACACATAAAAACAAACTCTGTTTAAGGGGGGGGGGAGTAGTTGAACAAGGTATGTGGAAGCTTGAAATATACTGGCAGGACAACCCAAGAATATCGTTCGGTCTAAGGGCCTTCCTCAGCAGACAGGACAAATAAAGAAACAACATGAAATTATAAAGTAGTTCGAAAACTTAAGTGTTCGCCATTAGTTTCATTGCCGGTAGTTAGGTTTTCCGAAAAAAACAAGGTTACTGGAAGTAAAAGAATTTATGTTTCATTGCTGTGAAAAATTAGACTTTGACGGACAACATTATTTTGGAACTATTTAAAATAAAAGAAATAAGAGAAGAAACAGAAGGAAATTGAGGATCACTGGTAAGGGAGTATTTGATTGGTTCCACAGGGGGGGGGGGGAGGCAGCCCCTCTCCTTTTTTTTGTCTTCGTAGCTTTTTTTTTTTTTTTAAGACACCGGTGTCTTAAAAAAAAAAAAACAGCCACGAAGACAAAAAAAAGGAGAGGGGCTGCCTCCCCCCCCCCCCTGTGGAACCAATCAAATACTCCCTTACCAGTGATCCTCAATTTCCTTCTGTTTCTTCTCTTATTTCTTTTATTTTAAATAGTTCCAAAATAATGTTGTCCGTCAAAGTCTAATTTTTCACAGCAATGAAACATAAATTCTTTTACTTCCAGTAACCTTGTTTTTTTCGGAAAACCTAACTACCGGCAATGAAACTAATGGCGAACACTTAAGTTTTCGAACTACTTTATAATTTCATGTTGTTTCTTTATTTGTCCTGTCTGCTGAGGAAGGCCCTTAGACCGAACGATATTCTTGGGTTGTCCTGCCAGTATATTTCAAGCTTCCACATACCTTGTTCAACTACTCCCCCCCCCCTTAAACAGAGTTTGTTTTTATGTGTCTAGCATAACGTATTCAAAATTCAACAAAGACATTAACACTACATTTTCTGCTACCTTCTCAATTCGCAGAACGGCTGCTACCCAAGGTTCACGTGCATGTACTACGACACGCCGGCGTCAAACCTCTTGCGGTACAGGTTCAGCAACATCCAGCTGTGGCCAAAGACGTTGACGGACGACAGCATCTGCAGCGAGGAGAACTTCATAACTCGGCCGGACTTCTTCGACCCGAAGGACCGGTACGAGGAAAGGTGGGAAATAAAACATTATGCAAGCACTACCGTTTCTGTTAATGCTTTGATTACATCCAAAGGTGGGAAACAACAAAACAATATACAAGCAGTTTTGTTTCTGTTGATACTTTTAAACATCCAAAGGTGGGGAAACAAAACATTATGCAAGCACATCTGTTTATGCCATGCTAACAGAGTCAGCCTGGGACTGCCTGCGTTGTATCCGTGCGTGGTGCGTTGTATCTGTTTGTGGTGCGTTGTATCTGTTTGTGGTGCGTTGTATTTTATTTATTTAGGAATTTTTATATAGCGCTTACCTTAAAGCTCTAAGCGCTTTACAATTATTAAAAACATGTAAACTAACTAAAATAAAAATGAGACACTAGGATAGTAACTACTATACTAAAGAAACAATTAAAATGGCTATAAAACGAGGACACTTTGGCACGTTTTGGCCTAAACTACAGGATCAACCCGAGACAGAAAATGAGGCAGGGCAAGGAGGGTGCATCAACAGGTCATAGGCGGACCTAAACAGATGGGTTTTAAGGGACCTTTTAAAAGTGGACGAGGTTTCACAATGACGGATATGGAAGGGGAGCTGGTTCCAGAACGTTGTATCTGTGTGTGGTGCGTTGTATATTTGTGTGGTACGTTGTATCTGTGTGTGGTGTGGTGCGTTGTATCTGTGTGTGGTGCGTTGTATATGTGTATGGTGCGTTGTATCTGAGTGTGGTGCATTGTATCTTTGTTGCGGTGCGTTGTATCTTTTTGTGGTGCGTAATATCTGTGTGTTGTGTGGTGCGTTATATCTGTGTGAGGTGTGTGTACGTTGTATCTTTGTGCGGTGCGTTGTATCTGTGCGTTGTGTTTTGTATCTGTGCGTGGCACGGCGATGTTCAACAAAAAGAGCGTGTCTCAAATGTTTTAAGCCTGGGGACACTTCCGAACGAGGTAACACTAATTCTAGAGACACGACTGGGGCGGCCAAAGCACAGGCTTGTTTTTCCTTTATTGAGGATTCTACTGAAATTGTACATTAGGACATGGAGCCAGCGGGCCGTCGAGCTAAGCTCCCTCAGTCCCGAGTATCGGGCTGCGAAGCGGAACGTTTGAGATCTCCCTTTATCAGGACAGCCCCCCCCCACAAAGCACCCACTCCATCGGGTACCAACGGAGCCCACCCCAGCCCGATGGTCAGCCGGTGACGCTGCTCTCATAGCTTGAGCAGTCCACTTGCACAGGAGTCGGGAAAAATCGCCCTAATATTTCCCCCCCCTCCCCTCCCGGGGATGTGTCAGACGTCCTCTGTTAGGGATTTCTATAGTAGGTACCAAACAACTAATTTACGAGGCAGCTGGGATGAAACGGTTGCCTGGGAACAGCTTCCTCAATCGCCGAGGACTCTACTCGATGTATTTTATATGTACCTGAATCACTTGTTAACTTTTGTAAGTGAAACAGCTTATCGGATAATGTATTGAGAATAACCTCCGAAGAATCGTCTGAACTTTGTGTTGTACCTATAGTAGATGGTGATGTTGATGCCGCAGTTTAACACCTGGAACAGATTCATGATGATGATGATCAGTTGATACACCTTCTGGAACCTCTTCGTAAACTTAAGGTCCGGTTCCAGGATTCCCGAGATGTTGACCAGAACTTTGGGGAAGTTGCACAAAACGTACACGCTCGATATTACGGTGACCTGCTGGACGACTCTAAGTTCCCGGCCATCAAATGCCTCCGACGACGACGGCGTCCCGTCCCGCTGGATGGCCAAGGACGATGACCTCCTGAAGGACTGGGCCCTTCTGAGGTAAAAACTCAGCACAAAAACGCACGCGGTGACGATGATTTGCGATGTGATGCTCAGGAATGTGTCTCTCGTGCCCAAGACGACGTCTCTGACGAACTGGCGGTCGCCCGATGACCAGACGAGGAGGCGGGTCAGGTTCACGCGCGGGTCGAAGGCTTCCCCCACGCCCAAGTTGGACAGCACGGGGACGTAGCTGGCGACCGTCAGCACCACGAACGCGGCGAGGGCTGTCGCGCATCGGCGTGTCGAGAACAAGTCACCGAACCGCAGCGGCCGCGCCACGCACATGCAGCGAGCCACCGCCAGAAACGTGGTGGTGAGCATCGTCATTGGGTAGATGAGGAAGCCGACGTTGCTGGTCAAGATGTACGCGCCGTACGGATCGACGCCGAACCGCACCGCGTAGTTGGAGATCATCTCCACCGCCCAGAGGACGGAGAAGACGCCGCTGCTGAGCAAGGACGCGACGTAGCAGAGGTCGGACAGCGAGAGAACGAGGAAGGAAACGGTCAAGGCGTCGTCGAGCCCCATGGCGATGAACGTCCTGGCGCTGACGGAACACGAGACGACTGCCAGGAGTGCCGCTGACGTGATGGCCACTGAACAAGCACCGATAATGATTGGGTATTGGTCGCCGAATGCACCGCTTGCCAGAGGCGACTGGATAAGTAAAGAATTCATTTTTTGTGCGTGTCGTAAAGAATAAATTTATCGCAGTTTGAATGAAAGTCAAATTTTTAGAATATTTGAGTTAAGCTGCTCTGAGAATGTTGCCGCGTCCATCATAGCTGTAAGGTCTTTCTTGCAGGTTAAGGGCAGTTAATCTGTCGGACCACTAAGGGGTGGAGATAAACAAGGAGTGCAAAATTAGTGCACTAGCAACGCTAACAATGTTGTACGGGTTTCTCCAGTTAGAGTAAGTGCACTATATAGCCAGATCATCCAATGTTGTATGGGTACCTTTAGTTTGAATAAGTGCGCTGCACATGTAGCCACACCCCTCCAACGTTGTATATGGGTACCTCTAGTTTAGTTAGAATAAGTGCACTGTAGCCACTTCCTCCAATGTTGTACAGGTACAACATCCACGTAGGGTAAGTGACCTGAAGCGATATCGTCACTGCCGCTAGAACACAGCCCAGAAGACTTCACGTGTCGAAAAGTCCCCCCTAGAAACTGAAAGTAGTCCGTCATGAGACATTTGACCTCCCGTCTCAACAATACCATTCTATATATATATTGTGTGTGTCTGTGTGTGTGTGTTGTGTGTGTGTGAATGTAATGATTGCATTCTGTTTCTCCGCAGCAACAAACAAACAAAAATGACGGGGAAAAAATCTTTAGAAATATCATGTCCCGAATTGACTCAAAATGAACATTGTCAATAGTTCCACCATTTGCTCTTAACAAACACATGTCATTTTTTTTTTAATTAAGAAAAAATAACAAAGAATATGACTAGGGTTACTTTTTCCAAATTTTAATTAAAGCAAATACCACTTTTTCCCCCGCCGATGTGTTTTACACAACGAGCTGTCCCTTTTTCACATCACGCCTGCGTCTATTTTAACCACGTTAATTATAAAATCAATCCCCCCCCCCTTTTTTTAACCATATTAACGGGTTAGCCTTATTTGAGAAACTTAACAGTACACCTTGCAGAGGTTACAGTGCCACTTACTGGTGTGTCTGTATGGTGTGTGTTTGTATGGTGTGTCTGGATGGTGTGTCTGGATGGGTGTGTGTTTGTATGATGTGTCTGGATGGGTGTGTGTTTGTATGGTGTGTCTGAATGGTGTGTCTGGGTTGTGTGTTTGTATGGTGTGTCTGAATGGGTGTGTGTTTGTATGGTGTGTCTGGATGGGTGTGTGTTTGTATGGTGTGTCTGAATGGTGTGTCTGGGTTGTGTGTTTGTATGGTGTGTCTGAATGGGTGTGTGTTTGTATGGTGTGTCTGGATGGGTGTGTGTTTGTATGGTGTGTCTGAATGGTGTGTCTGGATGGTGTGTTTGTATGGTGTGTCTGGATGGTGTGTTTTTATGGTGTGTCTGGATGGTGTGTTTGTAAGGTGTGTCTGGATGGTGTGTTTGTGTGGTGTGTCTGGATGGTGTGTTTGTATGGTGTGTCTGGATGTGTGTGTGTTTGTATGGTGTGTCTGGATGGGTGTGTGTTTGTATGGTGTGTCTGGATGGTGTGTCTGGATGGTGTGTTTATATGGTGTGTCTGAATGGGTGTGTGTTTGTATGGTGTGTCTGGATGGTGTGTTTGTATGGTGTGTCTGGATGGGTGTGTGTTTGTATGGTGTGTCTGAATGGTGTGTCTGGGTTGTGTGTTTGTATGGTGTGTCTGAATGGGTGTGTGTTTGTATGGTGTGTCTGGATGGGTGTGTGTTTGTATGGTGTGTCTGGATGGTGCGTCTGTATGGTGTGTCTGAATGGGTGTGTGTTTGTATGCGGGTGAACTGAAATTCGCTGAAGAGACCCCACCCCACCCCCCCCCTCCCCGTGTAAGAAATTGTCCCCCCTTCTTATAAACCCCCCCCCCCCCCCCATGTAAAAAAAAACCCCAAAAAAACAAACAAAAAAAGCAATAACAACTTCACTCGTAAATTAATTAAATTTGTTTTTAAAGCGTAGGTACAAGACGTATCGCTACGCAAACATCGCTGCCAAATTACAGCTAATTGCTGCAAGGAAACAAAGACAGGTTTTGATTACGGTTACAATTATCTGGCCGAGAATAACGGACCATTACCGTTCGTTCATTATTTTTAACTTTATTTAAATCATGATTTCCATGACTTAAAGTCATTGCTGTTAAATTTTAAACTTTGAAAAACTTCTCGTGGCCTGGACTGGCCGTTGGTCAGGGCAACCATTGATCCTTTAAAGCATTGGCTGGGGAACCGTTGATCAACTCGCTTAAAAACCATTGCCGGATTAATACCCCCCCCCCCCCCGAAGACGCCTAGGCAGTCGACATTTTGAGCCCCACCCCCTCGAAAAATGATATCTTAATGTCAAATCAGCAGTGGCGTAGCTAGGGTTGCTGCCGCCAGTGGTGGATCCAGGGTGGGTAAAAATCCTTTCAGGATAACCACATACCAAGAAAAGTGTTCGGTGTGTATTATTTCCCCTTACCTCTTTTCCCTCTCCCTTTTTAAAAACAGGTGGTTTTTTTTTTTTGTTTTTTTTTTTTTGCGATATTTAGAGTTCTTTCAAGATCACATCCCTTTTTTTTAAAAAAAAATAAATAAATAAATATTTGTCGCGTGGCTCCTGAAAGGTCCATCCGGCACTGGTTAAAACATGGATTCCACGATGGTGGGGTGTCTTTTGTTGTTGTTGTCTTTTGTTTTCATTGCACCCGCTCTCAAATATGTCATTGATCATTAGGATTCCATTTAAAAATAAAATTTAAAAAAAAAAAACTTTGTCTTGCAATTTTTTTTGGTTATTGAAAAGTGTTGTCAGATCGCAACTCCCTGTTCTTTTCTCTTCTGACCAGACCTTGGAATGTCGCCCTGTCCACGGCTGGTCAGTTCCGGCGGATGCCCTGTGTCTACCCGAGCGGGATACCGGACCACGCCGCCTTCACCGACAACCGCAACCACACGGGCTGCGTAACCTTCAGGTTGGTCAAAATTGTTCCTTAAGAAAACCGTTTTCTGCTTAAATAATAATAATAATAATTTTTTTTGTAAAAGTTATATTTGTGTTCCATCTCTTCGGTTATACAAAGATGCGGCTCCCCTGGGCTAATTTGATACACGTGATTATCATTGTAGATGGTGACATTTAAATACTTAAATAGTGCAGCCACTGTATGATGTCTATGTTCAGTGACACAACAACTTCATTAAATCGTTCTGTTTTTTTTCTACAGTGCTCTGTTACTTTTTTTCTAGTAAGTTACGTTCCTGGGAACTGTAAGGTTATCTATTTTTTTTTTTAATGTAGGATTTGGGGGCCGTCCATAAAGGAAGTCACGCTATTTTTAACATTTTTACGCCCCTTTCTCCCACCACCTGTCACCCAACCTGTCAATGCTCTCTGACACACCCACCCCTCCCTCCAGAGAAGATCACACCAAAATAAACAGAATAAAACGTTTTTAAACAAACAGCTAATAACAATCAGAGGCGTAGCGAGGGGGGCGGGCGGGGGGACAGATGTCCCCCGGGCACGAATCTTGTCCCCGGGCGCCAAACACCCTCGCTACGCCTCTGATAACAATTCAATCTAAATCACACCTCGCTGTCAAAATTAGACACTCCAGTAATAACTGAAGCTTCTTTCAGAATACATTCAGAACACAACAGAAAGTTTATCATCACTGTCCATTTCAGCTTGTATACGCATGATTAAAAAAAAACATAAAAACTATAAATAAATGTGTGACGTCACATATGATCTCTCTCTCTCTATCTATCTCTCCCCCTCCCCCCCCCTCCCTGTAACAAACTATCACACTGTCGTAAAACCCCCTTGCCCCCTCCCCGAGTGTCACGTAGTACTTTATGGACGGGCGCCCCCCCCCCC